TTATAACCTAAAGAGAAGACACACCAGAATATACCTCTCTATCACAGTTTGTACCCAGGAGGGAAGGTGGGTTGGTAGATGGTGGGATTCCACCCAGGAGGGATGGTGAGATTCCAAAATGACTCTAGTTTACATAAAGTTGACATAAAACCCCCACACAATAAGCTTTGAGTAGTAAGCCAAAGTATGTAGGCTCAACTGTCTACTGAGCTGGACGGATGAAAGAGAGCTTCCGGACTATGACCATATTCAAATGACCCTAGCTGAATCCATGCTGAGTCTATCTTATGCTCCTACTAAGTACCAGAAACTCTCAATTTTACAATTCCTCCTTCATTTCTCAGTGTAACAATCATGGATTTTTTTTCAGAATTACTAATCAGCCCTTCACCTTTTCTCTGTTCCCTTAAAAGTTTTGTCCTTCCCAGTGCTTGAGAATCATACAGGCCTCACTGAGTTTCAATGCCTCCTGCTCTATGCAGTCTGTCTGTCCCAGAAAGCCAGGCTTTTCTTTTAGACTAATTTGCTGTTTAGTTTCTGTCTTCTTAGAGCACACAGTTTTAGGAAACTGAAGAGTAAAAGAATTTATGAAACTGATGCATGGAAAAATTTCAAAACTAGAGTTTTGGGACTAGCAGTTTGCATTTTTATTTCATTTGGGGTTTTCTGAGGATTTGATGATGAAATATGTTTTCCTTCTAGTTCTAATCTGGTTTCTAGAGTGTGTTATATTATTTAGTGTTTAAGCAATGTCCTATAGCCTCCTTCCATCCTTCCTTTTTCCGTTCTCCTTCATTCTGTTCTCGCCTTTCTTTTTTACTCTTTTTGCTTCACAATTGTCTACAACATTCTGGTTATTAAACAGCATCGACGCTTTCCTAGAATCTCGTCTTGACTTTCAACTGGGCAGAAAGGATTTTAGCAATGTGCATTTTGTGGTTTTAAAGTGAACCCACAATCATTTATTATTTGTTTGTTTTTTTGTTTCAAGACAGGGTTTCTCTGTGAAGCCCTGGATGACCTGGAACTCACTCTGTAGACCAGGGATCCACCTGCCTCTGCCTCCTGAGTGCTGGGGTTAAAGGCGCCACCACCACCATCCAGTCTAATAGTAGTTATGGATATAATTGTTACTGATAAGAGCTACAGTACTGTCATATCTTTTATTCATATTCCTTCATTTCACATTTCCTATTTCATCCCTGTGGTTATTTGAATGAGAATGTCTCTATGGCTCACATATTTGAATATTTGTTTTTCAATTGGTGAAACTGTTTGGGAAGGATTTGGAGGTGTGGCCTTGTTGGAAGAGGTATGTCATTGGGGTGAGCTTTGAGATTTCAAAAGACTCGTGCATTTCCAGTGTGCTCTTTCTCTGCCTCCTGTTTGTGATTTGAGGTGTGAGCTCTGAGCTGTTCCTACCACCATGATTTCATTCTGCCATCATAGAGTCTAACCTTCTGGAACCAGAAGAACAGTTAAATGTTTGTTGTTGTTGTTTATTTGTTTTATACATTTTTTATAAGTTTATAAGTTACTTTTGGTCATAGTGTTTTATCATAGTAATAGAAAAGTAACTAAGATACTCCCTTACCTATTTCTTATAGGTAAAGTTTCCAGCCAGCCCATATTGTCACTTCACAAATCCTTTTGGAGTAGGAGTTCAAATAAAAGTGAATACATGAGTTGATGCTAGTACAAGTTTCCTGTGGTCATAGGACATCTCTATGCTCTGCGTGAAATGTGGTCACTGGGCAGAAAGCCAGGAGACATTGGATTAAAAGGTGGATTAAAAGGGGGTTAGTGATAAAACAGGTGTGACATTGTTGCTTTCTTTTCCTTCCTCTGATACCTAGTTTATTCTTCTACACTCATTCTTGTCTCTTTCTATCCTCTTGTTGTTTCAGGGCTCATTAGATAGTCATCTTTCCTGAGAAGGAAGGTTGGTTGGTTCCAAAGGAAGATGTGGCCATTGCTGAGATCTGCTCTGAAATACTCAACATTTCTAGCTGTCTTTGCAGTGGATCTTAACATTTCTGAAGACTTTCTGGATTGAATTTAAGACTTGTCTTTGAGTCTCTTGTTTCATAATGATATCCAGTCACAGAGGGATTATTGGTCAGCCCAGAAAGAAAAATCTATTGAAGCAGCCTGTCTCCCAAGATAGTCTGCCTAGCCTCAGGCAGTTTCAGGAAGGAGTCACTGCATGTGAGACCCATAGTCCCCTACAACAATTGTTTTATTCCCAAGCCCCTCATCATGCCCCTATATAGGGTTGCAACCAACTTTTACCCCTGCAGACCTGTTCATTTCCCAGGGCACAGAGGCTGCTCTTACTATGTGTGCCAATAAACAGTTTAGTCTGTTGAAGGCAGATTCTGGCCTCTTTCCTGCCTTTTGTCTTTTAACTCTCTACTCAGAAATCTTAGCAGACAGAAAAGTTGGGCGCAGAGTCCCAGTTCAGGAGAAGTAGAGATGGAGGGTCCTTGAGGCTTGCTGGCTGCCTGGTCTAGCTGAATCAGTGAGCTTTGGCTTCAGTGAGAAACCCTTCTAAAAAAAAAAAAAAAAGAGTGGAGGCCCCCTGAGGTTGACATCTGGACTATGCAAGCATGCACACACACATGCACATGAACATACATGCCCACATACAGAGTGTGTGACAATCAGAGACATTTCAACTATGATTGCTCCTCCAAAGCATCTGGTTTCTACTTTGTTCCCTCAGCAGTGGCTTTACTTAGGAGAATGCTGCTTGTGAGTCCTTCACAATCATTGGCAATAAAACAGGGGTGAAAATGAGCAAGGCTACAAGTGAGAAAGTGATTGTCTATTATTTATAGGTGGAGTAGATGCCAATAGGCTCGGGGCTAAGTAGCTGCAAGCGTTTGCCCACTCAGTGGGGATTACAGATCTAGAGCTGAGAGGCCCAAGTTCTGGCTCCAGCATATTCCGACCTCATTTCTCCTTCATCCTCTAACCTGCTCTGGGGAGAAGAGCTACCCAGGGTTGTCTGCCCGCGGCCGGATGGCCACAAGGCAGTCAGGGTCAGTGTTTCTAAACAATGCTCCTGGTTCTGTTCCAACCTCATTTTCACTTTGTGTTTTCTTTTTAACAGTAGAATAGTACGTAAATAGTTCAAATTATTTTCTGTGATATTTCAAACTACTGGTTGAGAGCATTTGGAGAGGTTGGTTGTAGGTGTCATTGTGAACAGAAGAAAATGCAATTAAGAGCAAAGAGGACAGCCATGCACACTCTTCTCCCAACAGCAGGGTGCTGAAAAAGGAGGATCATGAGTTTGAGGCCAGCTGGGGCTACACAGTGAAACCTTGCCTTAAAAAGTAAGAGAGAAAGGGTGGGGAATCCGGGCAGCTTCTTACTGATTTCATAATGGCTGTCCCAGATCTTCCGCCTGCCAGCATCTGCCATCCTTTGTTTGCCTCAGGACTCTCGGGGTAGTTTTAATCTATGTTTCTTTGGTAGTTAATGATGTTGAAAACTGAAAATATTTATTAGCCTTTTCCTTCCTTCCTTCCTTCCTTCCTTCCTTCCTTCCTTCCTTCCTTC